GCCTTGAGACTTACGGANTGGCGTCATTGTCCGGCTGATTGGCGTCATTGTCCGGCTGATTGGCGTCATTGTCCGGCTGATTGGCGTCATTGTCCGGCTGATTGGCGTCATTGTCCGGCTGATTGGCGTCATTGTCCGGCTGATTGGCGTCATTGTCCGGCTGATTGGCGTCATTGTCCGGCTGATTGGCGTCATTGTCCGGCTGATTGGCGTCATTGTCCGGCTGATTGGCGTCATTGTCCGGCTGATTGGCGTCATTGTCCGGCTGATTGGCGTCATTGTCCGGCTGATTGGCGTCATTGTCCGGCTGATTGGCGTCATTGTCCGGCTGATTGGCGTCATTGTCCGGCTGATTGGCGTCATTGTCCGGCTGATTGGCGTCATTGTCCGGCTGATTGGCGTCATTGTCCGGCTGATTGGCGTCATTGTCCGGCTGATTGGCGTCATTGTCCGGCTGATTGGCGTCATTGTCCGGCTGATTGGCGTCATTGTCCGGCTGATTGGCGTCATTGTCCGGCTGATTGGCGTCATTGTCCGGCTGATTGGCGTCATTGTCCGGCTGATTGGCGTCATTGTCCGGCTGATTGGCGTCATTGTCCGGCTGATTGGCGTCATTGTCCGGCTGATTGGCGTCATTGTCCGGCTGATTGGCGTCATTGTCCGGCTGATTGGCGTCATTGTCCGGCTGATTGGCGTCATTGTCCGGCTGATTGGCGTCATTGTCCGGCTGATTGGCGTCATTGTCCGGCTGATTGGCGTCATTGTCCGGCTGATTGGCGTCATTGTCCGGCTGATTGGCGTCATTGTCCGGCTGATTGGCGTCATTGTCCGGCTGATTGGCGTCATTGTCCGGCTGATTGGCGTCATTGTCCGGCTGATTGGCGTCATTGTCCGGCTGATTGGCGTCATTGTCCGGCTGATTGGCGTCATTGTCCGGCTGATTGGCGATCTTTAACACTGTTATGCAACGTATACAAAAATCATCTAAATTTAAACTTCTCGATAAGCCAGAGAACTGAAATGTTCCATGTTCACTTAAATCAGTCTACATTGGGTGGATTCCCGATTAATCAATGATTTTGAAATCATTCATGTTGGCTTTTGTCTTTGTGAACGTAAATAATACCTCTTATAAATATTTAAAAACGTTACGCTGGTACAAATTGTGTATTTCAATAAAAACCTGACAGTTCCTCGGGCACTACATGCTCATCTCTGTGTTGTCAGCTGTGAGAAAACTGTCGTTGACATTATGGTGGGACTTGGTTTACTTGAGATGGGAGTAGATTCATAAGCAGTTTTGAATCGTGAAGAAAGTACCGCTGTTACAGTGAACTGTTATACGAGGTGAACTAAGAGTTAGACAGAAGGAATTTAAAGAATTAAACTATTAGCTGTACACACTTGGGCTACATTTCGTTCTGTTTAAGGTGGGGAATGAATTTTCATCCCAGATACCAGGATCTGAAAATTAATTAATTTTAAAATGCTCCTTTTCAGATGCACTGAAGAATTACGTCCATCGAACTAACAAAAGTTCCAGACATTAAACAACTCATGGATGCGAATCATCATACAAATTTGATTTCATTGTCAATTTAAAAAAAAAAATAAGTCAAAGGAGCAATGAACTTTACAGTAACAGAAATCCACTTTAAAAATCGGACGAACAAATTTAAAGTTATCGCTCACTATCCGTATTATCTTGACAAACTGAAAATTATAACGTTTTGAAACTAAAGTAACTCAGGGGCGTCACTTAATAAGTTTCATAAATACGTATTTCTGGAAAATAATTCCAAGTTACTTAAATATTCACTCAAGAACATACCAGCTATTCTCATCTTATCTTATCAACCCTTAAGGCGGGACCATGCAAATAGGAAGCGAGTGGTTGGTAATTAAATGATCTTTTCAAGCGTAAAACGAGTTTTTTCAAGTCGCTGTCTAGTATTGATTGCGCAAGTATGACACAATGAAATCTTGTCACTCATGACGCAGTAGACTGCTGTTCTACTAAGATTAACATTGAAAAAAAAAAAACAACAACAAGGAAAAAACAGAAAAAAAAAACCAAACAAACAAAAAAGAAAAGAAAACAAGAAAAACATTTTTAATGTTCCCGATAGAAAAAGAAATAGACCAGAGGAAATGAAACCATGCTATCAAATAAATCCAGACGTGTTGAACATTTTGTGTTCTTTTGAACTGAATAATATATTTTAGATTGAAACTGAACGAACTCTGATTATCTAAATTAGACCTTGTTTTAAACACCTACGTTATATATTTGGGCGCTCTATGCAAGCAGAGTATAGAATAAAATCACAGTTTCAACACCGCCGACTCGATCTATGTTGACATGGTTTGCCAAAAAATCGATCTGTCTTCTTTTGGAAATAGATTGGTCACAGAAGAATTTTAAACGGGACTTTTAAGTGTCATGTCAACAGATTTGAGTTGTTGACTTGTGAGACGCAGTTCTGTGTACGTATGTCAGAGAATGGCTTTAGGCACCGCCACGAATGATATTCGTATTATTACTTAGTGTGTAAAGTGTAAAGCAAATTAGACAAGTACTTCACAAATAGTGGCTTGCAAATATATGGAGAAATCCTGTTTCACCATGGCCGCAGGGCACATGGCCAAATGGCCACCGGATCTCAATAATGAAGTAAGTCTTACTATAAAGTAACGCTTCTTTGATTTATTAATTTTTTTTGTTGTGGGTAGGGGTTTGGTTTGTGGGTGCTGGGTGGCCGAGTGGTCTAAACTGATCAAATCTCAAGTTGGTGGTCTGGAGTTCAATTCCAGCTAGAGCAAAAACACCACCAGCACCCCGGGTAGATGCGACTCGTTAACCTTGGACGGCAACTCATCTAAGAGAAGGAAACTCTGAAATCATACCCGGAGATGGAGTCCCGAAAGGCGGATAACATTGATACAATGAAACATTCTGACAACTACTGCGACGTCACTGGTGCCAAGCTGCATCATCCAATGGCGGCGTGGAAAGAGGCGACTTGCTGATGGGAACCAGCTTATAATCCTTCAAGTATAATAATCCCAGGCTATGTGGATTTCGTCCTACGAAGCCCACTCCATCGTCACATTGTGACGGACGGATGCCAGCAAAAAAAAAAAAATGAAATAAATATAAATATCCATGGGTCATACCTAGCTGTCTGCTACGTCCAGGATGGCACTAACCATCGATTTGTCTAAAGAGCCCTTCCTTACTGTTTTTTGGGAGCAGGGGAGTGAATCAGAATCGTGTATACGATGTTGCGGAATAGAGTTTACTAGGCGTAATTTTGCAGCGCCATGTAACGTGTCTGACACAACGATTTAACTTCCACTAAATTTTAAGCTACGCAACACAGCTATAATGTTTTACTTATATACTTTGTAACTACCATTGTCAAAAAATAATTGTTCACAATATTTTCAACAAAAGAATAAAATGAAGGAAAGTAAGGATATATTAAAATGCATGTGATAAAAAACAACAATAAAACACAGTCTTTAAAAAAAAAAAAGCAAAAAGTGAATTATTCATTGTCAACAACTAACTTCTAAGTAACGTACATTTTCTAAACATGTAATTTACAGTATGATTTAGTCTTAATGAAATATTTCCCCAAAAAATTTAAATATTATTTCAGCAATTTTCTCGTTTACATTTCCTGTATAAATTTACCTATATTATTATAAGAAAATTTTGGTCAATATGTAAGAAGAAACAAAATTAAATAACGTATACTAAGAATAAAACAAAAGTCATGGTCAAAGATTTACTTCGACTTCTTTCTAAACGCTTTTTATGGGGCATCGTGTCATTGTTACCGTATGTTATATTTCTATAGTTTGTAGATTTCACACAGAGATATCTTCGAAAACTGCTACCTATATAAACCAATTTTAGATATCTTCATTGTTTTAGTAAAAATGGTAGATCAAAATTGTGTTCGTACAGCTTGGATCGAATATATATATATATCATATAGCCCCCCCCCCCCCAAACCGCAATGATCCACCAGAGCTTAAAGCAGGAAATAACAAATGTAAATCAAATTTAATCTTTATAAAAAATGTTTTTAATTTTAAAAATAATTAATTCCATTATAATAGTATCATTTTTTTTTTACATTTCAATTTTTAAATATTTGTTTAGTAAAGTCAATACTTAATTTTGTTTTACCTCTACACCCTCCCTAACAGCGGTTACATTAGTATATAAATACATATTTTACTATTGCTATAGTCGTTGTCCCTAAAATTTCTCATCTTCTGAAACCTACGTCTTCTCGCAGAGGTAGGACATCTTCTGAAACCTACGTCTTCTCGCAGAGGTAGGACATCTTCTGAAACCTACGTCTTCTCGCAGAGGTAGGACATCTTCTGAAACCTACGTCTTCTCGCAGAGGTAGGACATCTTCTGAAACCTACGTCTTCTCGCAGAGGTAGGACATCTTCTGAAACCTACGTCTTCTCGCAGAGGTAGGACATCTTCTGAAACCTACGTCTTCTCGCAGAGGTAGGACATCTTCTGAAACCTACGTCTTCTCGCAGAGGTAGGACATCTTCTGAAACCTACGTCTTCTCGCAGAGGTAGGACATCTTCTGAAACCTACGTCTTCTCGCAGAGGTAGGACATCTTCTGAAACCTACGTCTTCTCGCAGAGGTAGGACATCTTCTGAAACCTACGTCTTCTCGCAGAGGTAGGACATCTTCTGAAACCTACGTCTTCTCGCAGAGGTAGGACATCTTCTGAAACCTACGTCTTCTCGCAGAGGTAGGACATCTTCTGAAACCTACGTCTTCTCGCAGAGGTAGGACATCTTCTGAAACCTACGTCTTCTCGCAGAGGTAGGACATCTTCTGAAACCTACGTCTTCTCGCAGAGGTAGGACATCTTCTGAAACCTACGTCTTCTCGCAGAGGTAGGACATCTTCTGAAACCTACGTCTTCTCGCAGAGGTAGGACATCTTCTGAAACCTACGTCTTCTCGCAAAGGTAGGACATGGTCAACGAACACGACGCGTCATTGAGACGACGCCAATTTTCTTGTTCATAAACACAATCTTCATTGTTCTGGTTGTCTGGCTGGGAGTGATCAAAGATGTGGTCTCTTAAAGTCCCACCCATATCAAGTTGTTGACCACTGCCTGACCACACATATGTCCCCTCTGTTGCCATATCATCAAGACCCATCCAGACGTTATCAGAAAAGCCCACTAGGACAGAAATCAGGTCATATTTTCCCCTGCTGTCCGCCATGTAGAGATGTGAGTCGAGACAAGCACAGACGGCAGCAGCGTCCGTGTAGTTGAGTTGGTTGGTGAAGTAGGCCACGTTGGCGGTAAACCAGCGAAGTAATAACAAGTGATACATGCTACGGTTGCTGTAGAGAAGATGGCAAAAACAAAAAACGTGGTTTATCTGTTTGAAGAAAGTTTAAGCAAATGAGAAAAAGTCAATACTTAAAAATATTTTAAAAATCGAAATAAAATGTTCAATAAATGTTATAAAGATCTCATTACAAAAATGTTCTGTTAAACCGATGGCGGTTTATTGCCGTAAAATCCAGTTAAAAGGTGCCGCAATTGTTTTTACACACTGTCATGCGCTGTCATGCACTGTCATGCACTGTCATGTACTGTCATGCACTGTCATTAAACACATTCCGTCTGAAAATTATAAGCTGCCTATTCCACATTTCACGTATCAACACAGTTGGCAATCCCAGAATCCACCTTATTGTGATCGTTTAAAAGTTCACTTTATGAATATTTCAACTCTGTAGTGTTCCTTGCTTATTTTACATGGAGCACCTCCCCCAAGTGGCGGATAGGGGAAAAGCCCAACAGATATGGTGAGTACTTGGTCAATAAAAATACCGGGGGGGGGGGGAGGGCAAGATAGAGAAAGAAAAAAAACATTCATGCCAACTATGAACAAGGAGAATCTATATGAAGAATGTAGTGTTCCTTGCTTATTTTACATGGAGCACCTCCCCCAAGTGGCGGATAGGGGAAAAGCCCAACAGATATGGTGAGTACTTGGTCAATAAAAATACCGGGGGGGGGGGATGGCAAGATAGAGAAAGAAAAAAAACATTCATGCCAACTATGAACAAGGAGAATCTATATGAAGAATCCAATGGCAATGGCATTGGGATCCGACTCACAGACATTGCTTCAGGAAGAGGGATGACAGCAGCACCAAGTTTTCACACAAAAACTATACAGAGAGTTGCTTGGAACTCACCAGATGGAACCACAACCAAATTGACCCTCTGCTGTTCGATCGTAGGCATGGATCAGATTTACTTGAGGTAATAAGCTATCGAGGAGCAGATGCAGACTCTGACCATCTACTTGTAAGATTTAAATAGAAGCAGACAATTAGAATAATACGCAATGGCTGAAATCAAAGAGAAAAACTATATGATTACCAATAACTTACGAATGACCCACTAACTGCAAAACCTTCCCAAAATAAAGTAGAAGCACACATAGAAGCATCACAGGAAGAAATAAACAGGGAAAATAACACAAATAGAGCAGTGGGATAAGCCACAAAATGCTATGAAACTATAAGAAAAAAAGTAGTAGGATTTTAGAAAACTAAGAATAGAGTAGGCTGATTTGATAATGAAAGGAGAGATACTGGCGAAGAAAGGAACAAGGCACGAATGACGATAATATCAAGGGAGACCAGAAATACGAGATAAATATACAATGAAGCCAGAAGCAAAGCCACGAAAATGTGAGGACAGCAAAAAAAAAAAAAAAAAAAAAAAAAAAAAAACCAAAAGAAAAACAAAAAAAAAGAGAGAAAAAAAAAAAAAAAAAAAAAAAAAAAAAAAAGGAAAAATTTAACTAAAAGATATAGAAGACTTATCAAGAGAGGGAACTATAAGAGGAATGTACATGAAGATTGAAGGCGAAAAGAATGGATACCAAGCCAGGGCTCCAATGTGTGAAAGCAATGATGGAAAATTAACTACGGGTAATAGTTAAGTACTGGAGAGGTGGGCTGGATATTTTATGGGCAAACTAAGTGCAGGGAATAGACGATATGAATATTATCAACCACCACATGGAAGAACAAACCATATAATCTCCCCCCCCCCCCAAACTTTAGAGGAAATTACGGAAGTAATCAATTCTATGAAAAAACAACAAAGCACCATGGAGAATACCAAATTACAGCAGAACTTATTAAATATGGAGAAAAAGAACTACACACTCAGACGCATAAACATATATCTATAATTTGACAAAAAGAGAACATGCCAACAGAATGGGAAACTAATAAACCCAATACATAAGAAAGGTTCCAAACTTCAGTGCCCAAACTACAGAGGAATTTCTTTATTAAATTGTAAACACAAAATACTGGCACAAATTATAGCCAAATGACTACAACCGGACACCTGGGTCACTACCAATGTGGATTCAGACAAAACAGACCAACGACTGATCAACTTTTCCCCATCCGATGCGTAGTAGAGAAATATTACGAACATTATTCCCCCGTACATTTACTCTACCTGGACTATAAAATGGCATATGAAAGCATGAAAAGAAAATATCCATATAAGACTCTGCAGGAATTTAGTATACCCAACAAAACTGATCAAACTTTTGATATGTGTCACAATAAAGAACTAAACAAAAAAATCAAGATTCAGGAAGAGTATTCAAGCTAATTATAGATTAGCCCAGGCCTAAGACAGGGAGACTCATCGTCTTGTATGCCATTTCACCTAACTATAGAGATAGTTATAAGAACCATACATATGGACAACCGTGAAACGATAACAGGATACTTTCTTCTGGGGGGATCACAAGACCAGCAACCAAAAAGAAATCTCTAAAACTAACCCCCTCAGAACTGTGCATGTCCAGATGACATATCACTGTTAAGGAAAAGTAAACTAACCCCCTCAGAACTGTGCATGTCCAGATGACATAGCACTGTTAAGGAAAAGTAGTAAAAACATATCAAAGGCTTTTTTTTTTTGAGTTATGAGACGCATCACTACAAGCAGGGCTGGAAGCATGGGCGCCCGCAGAAAACTTTCTAAGGGGGGGGGGGCAAAAAAAAATCGATTAACTTTCCAGGGGAGGCAAAAATTTTTAGTAATGTTTTAATGTAGTTTTAATTTACTGTAGCGTATTTGTATGGTGAACGAACGAACATGACATCAGCTTAGTTACTTTCTCTTTATTTTCTCTTTACTTTAATAAATTTTCGTCAATTTTTGTCTAAAATTTTTTTTATCCAATCAATCCCGGGGGGGGGGGGCAAGTGCCCCACCTTGCCCTTACCTGCGGGCGCCCAAACCTTCCTTTCTCTTGCTATCTTTTATTACTCTTTCCACTTCTTTATGATCTTTCCTTCTCCTTTATTTCCTTCTCTTTTTTATTTACTTTCTTTTTTTTTTCTCTTTACTTTAATAAATTTTCGTCAATTTTTGTCTAAAATTTTTTTTATCCAACCAATCCCGGGGGGGGGGGCAAGTGCCCCACCTTGCCCTTACCTGCGGGCGCCCAAACCTTCCATTCTCTTGCTATCTTTTATTACTCTTTCCACTTCTTTATGATCTTTACTTCATCTTTATTGACGTCTCTTTGTTACGCACTGCCTTCTATAGTGACAACTTAATCTCTTATTTTAATTGTATGGCTCTTTCAAACAGTGCATAACAAAGGGCGATACCAGAGAGAAATACAATAGCAAAAATACGAAACTCAAAACAGTACTAATTACAATGAATAAGATTTATTTAAGTATTAATATAATTACAAAACAAGAGAAATATAATTACAATCATCAACTTACAGAGTGTGAGAAGTCTTGTACCGGTGCACAGTTAGTACAATGTGCCAATTAATAAAGTTCAATAATGAATGCGAATAAAAACATTTGAGTACACACAATAATACACTTGTCTTGTGAAGTGAAAAATATCTATCAATCAATCTCCTCTGTCTTTCGATTCCCCGGCTTTATATATGGGTATCGCCTGTTTCTAAAAAGATTCGGGGGCAGAATATACATTGTAGTCGTGACTCGAATCTTCTCCAAATTTCTATAATTTACTGCAATTTTCTACCCCATTCGAGTCAAGACAAACAGGCGATAGATTGTTTTTTGGTAAAAAAAAAGATCAAAAGAAATAACCCACGTCCAATACGAACGCAGTATAATTTTGGGTCAAAAAGAGTTCACGGCACGGGGAAAGTGTGACGTATACACGTCCTATATAACATCTTCGATAGGTGCTTTTGGGTCTTAAACCTTGCGGGTTCCATACCCGTGCTTGTTAAGTGTTATTTAAGATAAATGTGGATAGGAAACTATTCAGGTTGAGGCAATAAATAATATACACAAGCTAGAGAACAACCTAAAGAAGGACAATTGAAAAAGTCAACGCTTCAGTCATTGAACAGGCTTACCTTTTCCTGCCACCTAAATATCTATTTAAGTTTATCGGTCTCTTTACGTTTGCTGCGGAAGCTTACAAATAAAATTAACTGAAAGTTCGTAAAAATATGTTAAAACCCCTAAACAACTCACCCAAAGTCTAGATAAATGTCTGAACTTCTCATCAGGTAGAGTTCCCCTTCAGTGACGTTTGGTATCGGAAATCTGCCACTCAAACCTGATGATGGCGTACACAATCTGGTGAATTTGTTGTACATGAATCCTCGGCAATATTCGCCATATCTGAAATACGCAACGAATTGATTCTTTAAAGTTGATCTATTCCCAATAATGCGAATGTTGGGTTGTTAGTATTCACATGGATAGAGAGCATTCTTTGCAGTCTGCCAATGAGAGCATGATTGATTTCTATAACTGTTAATTACCTGATCCTACAATTAAAAGCGCAAGAGGACTTGGACTTTGTGATCCACCCCGAGCTTAAACGACTTGGTCCACAGTGTTTGGGTCTGGATTTTGCAAAATAAATGGCGACATCTTCGGAAGACATGGCCGGCTGAACGGGAAAAACGCAGCTGAATAGAGCTGCAGACAGAACATCTCTTGAAGTTAATTCATATAATCACTACATTTATTGAAACAGAAAACAAATGAAATGGGGTTGTTCAAATGAAGTGTTCTAACCCCCTTAACTAATTAACCCGGGGCCAGCCCAACGGGTTTTGGCGCCCTGTGCAAGCTTAAGTTTGGCGCCCCTTATAATAAATTTAGTCATTAAAGGAAAAAAAAACTAGCTATTCGATAATGAGTTTATTACCTATGTTTTTGGTTATTGTTTGTTAAAAAAATACAAAAATATAGGTAATAAACTCATTACCGAATAAATCGTT